ATACACCAGGGAGCCGATCCCCCATACATGGCCGACCGGTCTAATCTTCACTTGATCAACTCTCTCATTGTTTTCCATTCTCTCTTTTCTTTTCCATACTATCAGGAAGTCATCCTGTGGTTTTCTATATCATCCATATCATATCATCAGGTGCACACGGGGCGCCGATCTCCCATACAGCCAACAATCGCGTGGACCGTCCTCACAAACTCATGGTGACCCACTTCATCCCAACTCCACACATACAAGGCATAGCATTATCACAACACAATTAATCAAATATTACAATTAAATGCAAGCATGTTAATCAATTAAACATCGAAATGCAATGCACAATTTAGACATCCAAAATCAAATGCAAATAAATAAATAAGTAGTGTTAACAATAAACAACAATAATAAAATAAATAATAATAATAAACAATAATAATGAAAATAAATAAATAAATAATGGAATAATTAATAAAATAAATTAATAATAATAACAAAATAATGAAAATAAATAAATAAATAATGGAATAATTTAAACGATTAATAATGAATAAATAAATAATTAGAGCACTTTATTTATTATGTATCAAATTATAGAATTTATCTAAATAAGCTTATTTATTATGTTATTAATTAAAATTAGTTTAGGTTCTATCGAAATTTCGGCATAACCTCCCCTAAAAATACGACTATCTACCTGTTTAAATATCACAATAATATTATATATTTATCAATCAATACACACAGCCATCCATTGGGCAATTCACAACAAATCGAATATCCGTACTCCTTTAAACAACAGCATCGCCATTTATCATCCATAACAACTTACATAAGCTTAGTTCATAGTCTAAATAACATCATATTTACTTTATGCAAAAACATAATTGTCAAATCCGAAGTAAATTCTTTAAAACTCATACTAAATCAACTACTCTTTGCATGATTAAGAAGTTTTCATAATTCCTATTGACTTGTCATAAGACTACTCTTTGCATGATTAAGAAGTTTTCATAATTCCTATTGACTTGTCATAAGCTTGCTGCCATTTCAAAATAAACATAAACCTCAGCTTATATTTCAGTTAGAGATTAATATCAAAATTCCCGAATTATTTTCAGCACAGCGTTTATGAATCCCAAAACTCTTTACAAATTGAAATTCATGTTCAATCTCAAGTCAATTCTACAAGTGTTACATTCTTATATTATACTTCATAGAAATTCAGTTTATATCATCAATGGCAGCATAAATTTTGAGAATTTATTTTAATAATCTCACATAAACAGTATTTAAAATCCCTAACTCCTGTTGGAACAATTGTGAAAATAGAATTAAAAGAAACAAAAATGCTGCAATTGCAGATGAACTCACAAATGCAGAAAATGGATGAGTTCTACAGTATATTAAATTTCAGAATTGAAGTGCCTTTATATAGGCTTACAAAGTTAACTAAACTTTATATAGGCTTACAAAGTTAACTAAAATAGCTAAAAATACTCAATAAATCTTAATTATTATGCCACTAATAACAAACTTATCTTATTAACTGAAACCAGAAATTTTAGGAGCAGAGCATTAATTGAGAAGATTCTGCAGGACCAATTCTTGAATCAACTTTCAACACTCCCTCTTGATTCAAAATTGCACACACCCAATAAGGATCTAAAGTGAGTGGGTTTCTGACATGGAAGAGCTTTTGTAAGTATGTCTGCCACTTGATCATTGTATTGCAATACTTCAGGATAATCTCTTCCTTTGCAACTAGACCGCGAATGAAATGAAACCGGATATCAATATGCTCTGTTCTGCTTTGAAAAGCTGGATTTTTTGTCGTGAAAATCGTTGCCTTATTGTCACAAAAAATTTCTGTTGGTCCTTCTTGCCTTTGATGAAGATCAACTAATATTCTCCTAAGCCAAATAGCTTGACATGCTACTGAAGTTGCTGCAACATACTCAGCTTCAGATGATGATAAAGCTGTAGTGGCTTGCTTCTTTGAGCTCCAAGTGACTGCTCCTAACCCAAAACTGAAAACATTTGTAGAAACACTTCGCCGATCATCCAACGAACTTGCCCAATCCCTGTCTGTGCAGCCACATAGTCTGAAATTGGAAGCATTTGAGTAGCAAATACCATAATCTATGGTTCCAGCAACATATCTTAGTACCCGCTTTACTACTCCAAAATGAAGTTTTGAAGGATGTTGCATAAATCTGGAAATTAAACTCACAGAATACGTAATATCAGGTCGGCTATGAGTTAGATAAATTAAACCTCCAACTAGGCTTCTGAATTTTCTGGCATCAACAATCTCTGCACCATCATTCAGCTGTAATTTTTAATTAACATTCATAGGTGTTGCTGCTAGATTACAAGAAAGCATGCCAAATTTAAGGAGAAGATCCTTTGCATATTTACTTTGAGAAAGAAAATCCCATCTTTTTCCTTTGCATATTTACTTTGAGAAAGAAAATCCCATCTTTTACTTGTTGAACCTCAAGACCAAGAAAATAATGTAGCAAACCCATTTCTGACATTTCAAACTCATTCATCATATGTGATTTAAACTCAGCCATAAGAAAATTAGAGGCACTAGTATAAATGATATCATCTACATAGAGACAAACAATGATGAAATCATTTTTACCTCCCTTTTTTATGTAAAGTGTGGGCTCATTCTCACTCCTCAAGAACCCATATTGCTGGAAGTATGAATCAATTCGGCTATACCATGCTTGTGGCGCTTGCCTCAGACCATATAACGCCTTTCTCAACTTGTACACCTTCTCCTCTTTGCCTTCAATTATAAAACCTTTTGGTTGTGAGACATAAACCTCTTCTTGTATGTTTCCAAGTTTCAAATGGAGTTTGATTCATCATAGCTCTTGTGGGAGATAGATTCAACAAATAGACTGAAGTTGCTACTGGTTTAGCCCAAAATTGATTAGAGAGCCCTTTCGCTTGCAACATGCTTCTTGCCATGTCCATAATCGTGCGATTCTTTCATTTCGCAACGCCATTTTGCTCTGGAGTACAAGGAGCTGTCAACTCCCTATGAATTCCATTTTCTTAGCAAAAAAAAGAGTGAATTGATTTGACAAGAATTCTCCACCTCTGTCTGTGCGAAGACTTTTAATTTGCAATCCACTTTGCTTCTCAACTATGGCTTTAAAATGCTGAAATTTTTCAAATGTTTCTGATTTATTTTCCAAGAAATAAACCCAACTCATCCGATTACAATCATCAATAAAAAGTAAGAAATAACGACTCCCACCATGAGACTTAGTTTGCATAGGACCACAAAAATCGGTATGAATTAATTCAAGACAATTCGTTGCCCTCCACGCTTTTCCTACTAGGAATGACATTCTAGTTTGTTTGCCATAAATGCATCATTCACATAATTTAATTGAACCAATTTTTGGTAGTCCAAAAACCATACCTTTATTATTGAGTAGCTTCATGCCCTTCATATTAAGATGCCCATACCTCAAATGCCATAACGTTGAATCATCATTTTCACTTGTTGCTAGTACAAACTGCTCCATGCTGGAAATGTTTAATGGAAACATCTTATTTTAAGTCATGCTTATTTGAGTTCTTTGGCCTGATTTCTTATTTGTAATGACACAAGCGTTGTCATCAAATAAAATGGAATGCCCTCTAAGCATCAACTGTCCAACACTCAATAAATTGTATCCCAATTCAGGCACAAATTGAACATCATCTAATAACTTTACCTTACCATGATCAGTTTCCACTTTCACCATGCCATTACCTTCAACTTGCATCTCTTTTGTGTTGCCAAGCTGCATAGTTATTTTTTGTGTCTCATCAAGCTCATCGAATAAGGATTTGGTGCCTGTCATGTGGTTTGAACAACCACTATCAACAAACCATAAATTACTTGGTTTGGAGTTAGTTTCAATACAAGCCATAAAAAGTTTTTCTTCTTTTTCTTCTTCATTCTCTGCAGCAAAGTTCATTTGTTGGTCTTATACCAACATTCTGCCTTTATATGCCCATATTTGCCGCAATGATAGTATTGAACACCATTCTGCCATTTACTTTGCTCTTCGGACTGCCTTTGTTGTCCATCAGATCGGCCTCTGCCTCTTCCTTGACCACGGGCACGGCCACGGAATCCTCCTCTTCCTCGACCTTTATTCGCTGAAGTTTCACCTTTCCTGCTTTTGGTGACAACTTGAAATGCTTGTTCGCCATTCTTTTCAATTGATCTATTAATTCTGGACTCATGTGCTTGCAATGACCCCATTAGTTCATCAAATGAAAAAATAGGTAAATCCTTAGATTCTTCTATTGCTAAATCCTTAGATTCTTCTATTGCAGCAACTACATGATCAAATTTTGGGGTTAAGCTTCTCAATACCTTTTTAACTACTGTCTGATAAGTAATTTGCTCCCATAAGATCGCATTTGATTCACAATTGCCATTGCTTTTGACAAGAAATTTTGCACCAATTTGCCGTTTTTCATGAATAAAGTCTCAAAGTCCCGTCGTAGCGATTGCAGTTTTATAGTGATTATTCTTGAATCACCACTGAACTCCTTCTGTAAAACTAACCATGCTTGCTTCGATGTGGCTGCTGCTGCAATTCGAGAGAAGACACTGTCGTGAACAGATTGCTGAATTATCACCAATGCCTTGGAGTCTTTCTTTCTATTGTCTTTCAATCTATTTTCTTCATCTGGATCTGCATAACCATATTCCACCAAGTCCTAATGATCCTGAGATCTGAGTAGAGTTCTCATTCTAATACTCCAAAATTCATAGCCTTCCCCTTTAAAGATCATTCTAATACTCCAAAATTCATAGCCTTCCCCTTTAAAGATGGGAATGAGTGGTTGTGCAACACTCATTGCATTGTTGTTGTTTGCCATGATATTTTCAAAGTGTTTCACTCACCTCACGTGTTTAATCTCTCTATTCACTCAAACCAACCTGGCTCTGATACCACAATGTTGGAACAATTGTGAAAATAGAATTAAAAGAAACAAAAATGCTGCAATTGCAGATGAACTCACAAATGCAGAAAATGGATGAGTTCTACAGTATATTAAATTCAAGAATTGAAGTGCCTTTATATAGGCTTACAAAGTTAACTAAAATAGCTAAAAATACTCAATAAAGCTCAATTATTATGCCACTAATAACAAACTTATCTTATTAACTGAAACCAGAAATTTTAGGAGCAGAGCAGTAATTGAGAAGATTCTGCAGGACCAATTCTTGAATCAACTTCCAACAACTCCATCACAACTACCATCCAAGTTCAAATTCTTTAATCTAGTCGCAAGAAATCATATAGCACCAAGAACGAAGCTGAAAATTACTTACTAAATTGCAAAACACGTCGGAGGACTCGAGTTTCCGGATCAACAGTCACAAATCACAAGTCTCTCTGGCTATTTTGCTGCTGCGCCCCATCTAATCCGGAAAATGGGAAAGACAGAGGACAGAGGAGGACCGGTGATGAAGCAGGAGGTCTAAACTGGCCGGTAATTGGCTGGTCTCACCGGCAAAAAAAAGAAATGGAAAGCACGGGCTGTGACGATTGGAAAGCATAGCCCGCACTCTTCCTCTTTACTGCGCTAAACGAACCCAGACCAGAAAGAAAGAGAGACCAGAGAGAGAGGTGGAGCTGACGTTTATGGTGGTGGAGTCGCCGGCAAAATGAAACGAAGGGGAAGAGCTGTCTCGTTTGGAAAGAAACACAGCTCACTATCGTTACTGCACTATCGCTAGACGGAAAAGAGAGACAGAGAGAGAGCGGCGGCAAGGCGTTGCACCGGTCTCCGGTGATCGAAAAACGAGAGGAGGAGAGGGCGAGGGTTAGGCCGACGCTGGAGAGGAAAGGAAGAAGAAGAGGGAAAAAAAAAAAAACGAAAAGTAAGAAAAAAAAAAAAAAAGAGAAAAGAAAAAAAAAAAAAAAAAGAGAAAAGAAAATCTGAGTTTCGTAGGAAAAAAAAAAAAAAAAGAGAAAAGAAAAAAAAAGAGAAAGAAAATCTGAGTTTCTAGACTATTCCGGTTCGATTCGAACCGATTTGGTCCAATTCAGTAATTTGACTCAGTTTCAAAGATATTAATTGGTTTTCTGGTCCGATTTAATTTATTTTAATTGTTTTGGTTAGGTTCTAGAACATTTCCTCAATTTACTCAATAATAACAGTATTTGATTTTAGGATAATTAATTTATATATTAGTCACCCACAAAAAGAATATATGTTTTTAATATAATTAAGTCTTGTTATTATATATTATTTGTACTATTTGTTTATCCTTTTTATCTCTTTTCTTTGTTAACCAGATTATACCCCCTAACCCGTTACAACCTCGATAAAAGATCTTTTGATCTTTTTAATTTTATGCATTTTTATTGTGGAGAAATGATGGCTAAGTTTGCCTATGGAAATGTTGAAATTATATTCATGATTATCATATTTAAAGGTTAATAATTTTTGTTAAGATTCATATTTTATTTGTCATAATTTGAACAATTATTAATAAGAAGATCGAAGATCTTCTTAGCTTGTGTTTAAATTAAAGAATATGTTTTATTGAGATGAATTGAATTTTTGCAAGAAAATAATTAGTATAGGAAATACTTGATTTATTCTTATGTTAATGATTTTTTATATTTTTGAGATTGTTAATAATTATTCCCAACCATATTAAGCTATCAACTTGTGTTTAAAATAAAGAATATGTTTTATTGAGAATTGAATTTTTACAAAAAAATAATTAGTATAGGAAACACTTGATTTATTCTCATGTTAATGATTTTTGATATTTTTGAGATTGTTAATAATTATTTTCAACCATATTAAACTAATTTTGATAGTTTGTTTAGTTTGTGTTTTTGTTTCGTTAACAATCAGTCTCATACTGTTCAAATTGGCCACTAACCAATGCTTAAAGATTTAACAAGAATGGCAAGTGTTCAATTAAAATCTCATTCTCATTTCAATGTTAAATTTTATCTAAGTCACAAACGGTTCCTAAAATAAAGATAAATTAATGAGTTAAAGAAAACATGAAATTCATTCAAAATGCAAATTCAAATAATTAATAGATTATAGATTATATTCAAAATATAATAAAAATAACAACTCAAGTCAAGTAGTAGGGTAAAAGAATTCCGATAATGTTATGATTTGATCATATATAGGTTAGTACGTACTTGCCCTTTATCATCTTTCGAATTTAATAAACAAATCAACATATCTTTTTCAAGTAGTCTTTTTTTCTTCTTTCATTGATAATGTCAGCCTCTTTCTTACCTGTAATTAGACAATCAATCAATTATTAAATAAGTGACCAGAATATTCTCACACTTAATGTCACCTATTGCAATACAAATGGACATGGATAAAACAAAAGATTATCGCATTGCAAAAGTAACAATCTCTAAAAAATACTCCACTGACCGTGACAAATACCCTGCTCTCGATATTGTTTCACAGCAAGTAGTAACTGCAAAACCACCAATAAATTCAGCTCTCAAAGCTCTTCTTCACTTCAATTCTTTCTTATTTTCACATTTTCTGGAAATGTTTTATTTCGTTTCACCTAAGTGGCTGAGATCCAACAAATTATTGTTCATTTCACTTGAAGCAACATGCAATGAAAAAACAAATACCAATTAACTCAAGTAATATTAAATTTCCATGTAAAAAATGCTTTCATCATACAAACAGATGCAAATATGATAACTTATAATTGGATTAAATGAATGGAAGCTCAATGATTTGACAAGAAGAAAATTGAAATAGCTTTGATTGACAAGCAAAGTCATTACTGTCAAATTATATACATTCATAAAAATAAAATCCTTCATGTCCAAAACATGAGATAGAAACTTTTCACAGATGAAGGAGCGATAAATTTCCATTACAATAACTTCTTTTAACTGCATATTTGAAAGAAACACAACATAAATTGAACATTCCTTTAAGGAAGAAGGAAGATGATAGAGTATTTACAATTCTAAAAGGAAATATGTTTAGCATTCAACTCACCTCTAAACGGCATGCATTTGCAAAAATCCCGGCAGTTACTGCCTTTCTTATGGCCTGCAGCATCATTCAGAGGGAGAAAAAAGAATCAGGAGTAGTAGCATATTGATCAATACAGTTTGTTTAACTTGTCTAATGAAAAATGTTATGTAAAAACAAAATTCCCATAAGCGGAAAATTATTATTAAGATCCATATAAGTTTACCAAGTACACAGTAGAGCCGAATAAATATCATTTCAAGCACCAACCCAAAGTAAATAAGTAGTATTGCAACACTTACCAGAAAATCTTTTTCACATGATTTTAATACTATGCCTATCTGAAGTGCTATCCTCTTGAGTTGTTCTCTAATTTCAATAACCTTTTTCTGCAAGATAAATTGAATTGATACAAATATGTTGCATGCAACATATTTCAATTATTATGTTTGATTTTTTTTCTTGATTTACATATTATATGTGCAAGAACCTGAGAAAGCTGAAGAACTCCTGACAACCATGATTAAATCAGGGTTTCACCAATGTTCTGATTTTTACAACTGTAATAAGCAGTTGGTGCAGTTCAGGCAAAATGGAGTATGCAATTATAGTTTTGATATAATGTGTGAATATGGAAAGAGGCAAAAGAGACAAAATGAATATTTACCTCTTCTCATTCAATACTTCTAGCTTGTCTCAAATCATGCAAGACAATAAAGGAACCGAGGGCACGTATATGAAATATGAAATTACATAAAATAAAAAAGAATCAAATGATGCCTCTTGGCCAAAGAATAGAAAGGAAATCACCTTTGAAGGAAAAAATCAAACGATAATCACTGCCATTATCTAACCATTGCCGATCGAAAAAGAAGAGAAAGAAAATGATAGAAAATGCAAAAATTAAAAAGCAAAAATAAATCATGGAAATCACAATTTAAACAGATAGATGGATTAAACAAACATAAGAAATCAAAGAAAAATTTAACAAAGAAAACATTTTAAAAGAAGAAATAAAAATATGATACCTGTTGCTTTTCTTTCTCTCTTTTCTGATCCATCAGAAAGTAGAAATAAAATCTAGATTATGTCAATCTTGGGTTTTTCTTTTCGGCCTCTCTTATATATATATGTCAATCTTGGTTTTCTTTTTCGGCCTCTCTTATATATATATATATTATATAATATATATATATATTAATCCTGAAGAAAAAAAATATTTTAAAAATGCTGACGTGGCCTCTTTTTTTTACAGCCTTTCTACTTTTCCTATTTTTTATAAAATTTTTGAATTTTTCTTTTTTTTCTTTATTTTTAAGTTTTAATGAATATAATATATATATATATATATATATATATATATATATATATATATTATAAAAATATATATTATAAAAAATCTATTCTCTAACTAAATATATATCCCTTTGAATTTTTTTGAATATTTTCTTATCTATAATCATATTTATCTAGATATATTTATATCAAACCTGAAACATTTGTATTTCCTCACTCTCCCTTTGGAGTCCCAATTTCAATCAGTTACAGTACTTCTACAAATCCACAAAAAGGCTAAGCCGGTATCGAAGATTGTTGAGAAGATGGCTGAGAAAAAGATAAAATGAGAATGGTGGAGTTGTCATGCTTAATTATGGCTTATTTTAACATCAGTTTTTGTAGTTTTTTCATATTTAAACTGTTTAGTGTTTGATATTAATGACTAATTTATTATGGTTGTTATTTTTAATTTTTTTTTTTGTTTAAATGGGTATGAGTTTCTATGCCAATATGTATATATGTGTTATTTTTTAGAATCTAGAACGTTAAATGTTTTCTTACCTGAAAATTGATATATGCCTTAATACATTCCGCTGCCATTTTTATTGCTAAAAGGGAGCATATTTTCGGAAAGAAGTTTTATGGTGCAAAAGCTCAATTCTGTGATAAGGGATAAATGCATGATGTCACAATCGAATGTGACACAGTTGATCTTAAAAATCCATGTCTTTTGCCCGCATTGGTAAGACGGTAGTGCAGGATAACAGATTAAAGTGGAAATTTCGAGACAATCATACCATCTTGGCGGATGGGCTCCCTGTTGAAGTCTCCTAGGATGTCCATAATTGTTATTTGGTAATGCAATGGGCAATGCAGTTTTCATGTTCCAAACATGCCTATTTGCTCAGAAATTACGGTCTAGCTAATCTATTTTTTGACGCCTGTATATTGACTTTGTTGTACTCTCAGCGATTCAGAGACTACCAATTGCAAGGTCTTGGTTTCTCACTTATATTGTATGCTTGGAAGAATGATCAAGAGTTTATGTTCAATTGTTGAGTTTTTTAGTTTCCGCAATGTTTTTCAAGAATGATGTGATAGAGATACAGTAAATGCAATTATAAGTTTCTTTTCATTTCTCTTTTCAAGCATACATAAAAAATTGCAATGTTTTTCTAATGACGGTAATATGAATCTTAATTAATTTTCAGATTAATTTAGTTTATTAGTTCATTTATATGGCATTCTGGATTGTTCCTATCATGTCAAAGAGATTTGTACAGTACCATAAAAAACATTCTAATGTAAGAGAGAAAAATAGAAATATAGGCTAAAATGTTCAATCATTATATTTTGTCCTTAGTTGAAGTCTAAATAAAATAAAAACCATCATGCTAAACAGTGTGTGGGAAATTAAATAAATATAACAGAGTAAAATAAAAAAAAATTAAATAATATATTAAAACACACAAACATTGAAACATACACATAAAAAATAGCATGTGAGTATAGAAGTTTTATTTTGCGTTTGTGTTTTGTATCGTCTTAAAACACATGAATTATCTTTTAAAAAATAGGAATTAAAAAGGTTGCATTTGCAATTTTTTGAATTAATTTTATTATTATTTAAAAATTTAAAAATAATTTTATTATTATTTTAAAAATTTTTAAATTTTATTATTATTTAAAAATTTAAAAATTATATATTTGAATTGTTGATTATTACTAATTTATAAAATAATTAATTAAATTTCATGTTCAGATATAACGAATTTGAATTTGAATTTTATATAATATAATTATAAATTCATAAATTATAGTTTTAGAAAAACTAATAAGACCCAATTTTTTTACTTTTTTAAAAAAATACTCATAAACATAAGAGTTGGTAGTCTAGAAATCCTCTATTCTTCTAGGATTTTTTTAAGTCCAGACATTATTCATTGAATTGAATAATTTTTTAAGTCTAGGATTTTTTACTTTTCCACCAAATTTTATTATCATCAATGTTATGACCCGACTTCTTCTAAAATATATCTCTCACGAGATGTATTATTTTTTGAGAACAATTTTCCTTTTAGTAATATTTTCTCTCATTTACAATCAAATTTTCATATTCATAAATGGAAAAATGTTATTGACCATTCTGTTTCAAAGCACTTTGCTTCACCTTCGTCCAATGAATTACTTCCTGCTATTGTTTTGGTGCCCTCAGCTCCCGCTCTTGCTGTCCAAACCAGCTCTACGTCATCAACGTCAGGTACTGTATCAGCTTCTCTACCTGATACCTTAGCAGCTCGACCACCCTTATCCAATAAACCACAACCACCCTTGCCAAATAACCCACAATCATCTGTCGATCCACCCTTCACAAATGTTCATCCTATGACTACACATGCCAAAAATCACATTAGTAAACCAAAAATCGTAAAATCTCTTCTTGCTCATAGTCTGCTACTCACAACCCCTACAACCTATAAGCAAGCACCAACCCCTACAACCTATAAGCAAGCACAACAACAATCTCACTGGAACAAAGCCATGATAGAAGAGTTTGATGCATTAAGTAAAAACCAAACCTGGGATCTAGTGCCTCATAATTCTTCTCTTAACATTGTTGATTGTAAATGGTTATATCGTATAAAGTACAAACCAAATGGCTCCATTGAAAGATTCAAAGCTCGATTGGTTGCAAAGGGATTCACTCAAAGGCCAGGAATTGACTTTCATTCTAGTTTCAGTCTGGTGATCAAACTAACAACTGTCCGACTTGTTCTTACTCTTGCCACTCAGAATAATTGGCTCCTTCATCAGCTCAATGTAAATAACACCTTTCTACAGGGCCAACTTGATGAAGAGGTGTACATGCGTCAACCACCTAGGTTGATGAAGAGGTGTACATGCGTCAACCACCTAGGTTTGAGGATCCTCTTCTCCCTCATTATGTTTGTAAGTTAAAAAAAAGCAATTTATGGTTTAAGGCAAGCTCCAAGAGCATGGTACACTGCATTGACTAGTTATCTTTTGTCTGTGGGATTTTATTGATCCAAGTCTGACTCCTCCTTATTCATATGGCAAAAAATTTGGGTTCATTATTTATGTACTTGTTTATGTGGATGATATTATTGTCTCAGGCAATAATACAACTGCTATTCAGCAGATGATTCATAGTCTTTCCAATAAATTTTCACTAAAAGGTCTTGGTGCCTTACGTTATTTTCTTGGTGTTGACGTTATTCCTTTAAAAAATGGGCTGCTCCTTTCTCAACACAAATATATTTCCGACTTGTCGACGGGAAATAATATGCACAAATCAAAAGGAGTTTCTACACCTATGAGTGCTTCTACGGCTCTCACCAAGTCTCTTCCTGAAACTATTGTTCACGCCACCTCTTATTGGTGAATTATAGGTAAACTTCAATATCTATCGTTCATCAGGCCTGATATTGCTTTCTCTGTGAACAAACTTGCTCAGTTTATGCATTGTCCTTCTATTGATCATTGGAGGGCAGTCAAGCACTTGCTTCGCTATATGAAATCAACAGCACATTATGGTTTACTTTTGTCTAAGAAAAGTGATAATAAACTACATATTTATTCAGACTCTGACTGGGCTGGAGATCCAGTTGATCACACTTCTACCATCGGTTTTGTTGTATATCTTGGTAACAATCCTATTTCTTGGTCTTCTAAAAAGCAACGAGCCATTTCACGTTCCTCAACTGAAACTGAATATCATGCGGTTGCTGCTGTCTTAGCTGAAACAAATTGGATTGCAAATTTATTGAAAGAGCTTTGGTTTCCATTGGCTGATATCCCAAAAATCTCCTGTGATAATATTGGGACAACAGTTCTTTGTGAAAATCCAGTGTTCCACAATAAAATGAAGCATGTTGCCATTGATTTTCATTTTGTCTGTGACCAAGTTCAGGCAAAGCAAGTGCATATTTGTCACCTTCATACTGCAGATCAAGTTGCAGATTCGCTCATCAAACCTCTGTCACAACGTGCATTTCATGTTCTTTTTCCCAAGTTGTCTATTGTTGCACTACCTAACAACTTGAGGGGGTGTAAAACAAAATAATATTTCTGTTATGATCTTTCCTTTATTGTAGGCTTTCATTCTCTGTTATTTTTGCATATTAGTTAAGATATTATCTCAGGTTGTTGAGTTCTTTATGGCTGCTAGTAGTCATCATCTGTTGTATATATATTTCTCAGTTTTTGGCAATATAATTCAAGCCTTCATTTTACAATTTACTAGAAACTTCTTTAAGTACCTTGTAATATCCTATGAACCAATAGGGAAGAAAACATAAGAGGGTTGCACATTCAATTCTAACTGTAACAAACACTTTGCATAATATTTCTTTGAAAGCTCTAATTCAACTTCTCTTTTTCTTTTGCTTTCTCACAAACAAACCAAAAAGACCAAAATAAAAAACTTCAACCCACTAGCCCAGGAAATAAAAATTAAAGAGTCCATAAATTCAATTTTCAATATTTTAATGAATAACCTCAAATCTCAGTTAGTTGTAGAAATAATTTGAAATGAAATCGAATCTCAAAGCTTATGCCTTTTGCAGGTTTGATAGTCTAACAACCAAAACTAACCTTAATGCATGTGTCTGCTGAAAGGGTGCGAACTCGCCGGAATCCATGGCTGCCATGGTAAGCATCATTTCCAGCTTCATCTCTCCCAAACAACGCTAAATCGTGCACCATGGCCAAGACAAAGAAGAAGGAGATGAGATTGTTAGACAAAAAAGAGAGAAAAATAAAGTAAGAGAGAGAGAATGACAATGTCCGTTTATTGCACTTGTCATTCAGCTAAGGACGGATCAATCATTCAAATCATTCAACAAAGCAAATTTGCATGATTGACACGTGGGTATCATGCCAAGCAGTAAAAAAAAAAAAAAAACAATACTTGTTTGGAATCAACCCCTAGTCCATCAATTGTATAGCTAATGTGCTAACCAACCCTTCAAAAAAAAAAAAAAACAATACTTGTTTGGAATCAACCCCTAGTCCATCAATTGTATAGCTAATGTGCTAACCAACCCTTCCATTATACTCTTTAGCATCAAGTGAACAAACACTTTTATATAAATTATTTGAGCTGGAGTGGCGGTGGTAGTGCAACTCCCCCTCGTTTTGGTATATATCTACCGCCGGAAATGGAAGCCACAATTATCCGAAAAAAAAAATTTAGAGATAAAATCAAAAGAATTAATGAAAGTTTGTGTTTTTTTTTTTATATAGTCTATTTCAAACTTATATAGACAAACGATTATTTACAAATATCTTAGCTCATTTAAAATAAGCATATAAATAATATACTAGGGGTGAGATGGGATAACATGATCCCTTCTCCTTTAACCGGTATGAAATCCCTTTAAACACTCGAGAGGGAGCGCTTTTACATGTTTTATATATATAATATTAGGGAAAATGTTCAATTTGTTTGCGTTAAATTTACAAAAAATAAAACTCACAAATGAATCTTTTGGATAAAAAAATCCACATGCTTAGTATTTTATTGTCACTTAGCCCAATTTTTTACTAAGGGTTGATGCCCACAATAAGAAATAAATGAATTAAAAATTATTTTTCCTCTCTAGTAATAGTAATAGTAACAGCAACATCCACTTAGCCAAAATAACCAAATTTAAACTAAAATCTCTAAATCTATCAAATACAGAATGAAATCTACTGAGTTGAAGAAAGAAAGCAAGAGAGTAAAAGAAATATGAGTTATGCTAGTCGAGTTTTGAGAACGAGTAACTACCGAGGCAATCCAATTCGCGGCCATAGTAGATTATAAGGAAGCAAGTGCCATAGTAGATTATAAGGAAGCAAGTCATACTGTACTTGTAGATTGAAGGCAAGAAGAACACATGTAGAAGATTTTATTCCTGCAGATTCTTAAAGGTAAATGCGAATTTGTTCTTTCTGAAAATCAACTTCTTTTGTCATTGATTTATCAATAAGTGCGTGCTATTTTTCATACCCTTTTGAATCTCTGTTATCATTCTTTTATTCTTGAACCTTTATTAAATTTTTCTTTTCTTTTTTTTTTTTTTTTTTTGCTTAATCCAGCAAAGTTATTATGTTACTTTTTTTTTTTTTTTTTTTTTTTTTTGCTTTCCAGCCAAAGTATATGTTACTTTGAATGACACGACGCAAAAAATGGACGAGAGAGCTGTAGATATAAGGTGAAGTTCTAATCAAATCTAAATACTTCCTTCCATAATACGAGAGAGCTGTAGAACCATGCAGCAAAAGTTTTTATAATGTAATATAATAGACTTAATGGTCCAAATCATTACAGTTTCATAATAAACTATGCCAAATAAAAATACTATTATCAAACCCATATACTATATTTAATTGTTTTATAACTAAAAAGTTAAATGTTATCAATATTTATACAAATAACACATTCAAGATGAAAGCCATCTACTGCAATGACGTACCTTGACAAAAAAATGAAACCCATTGAACCACTTTTATTCAACAGTACAACTTAAAAACACTTTCTTCAATTAATGCATCAAAGTCATCTACTAATCTTTACAATAAAAAATCTAATTTTAGCAGACGAATCAATGCAACAGTAGTGATTGTACATTATTTACAATTAAAAAAAAAAAAAATCCAATGGCTTACCTTGATTGCTGCAATCCCCTAAATGCATTGAACCAATCTTCAAATTTAATTTCGTATACACTTGCAATTAGCCACAGAATATAGACGGTTAACCTAGAGTTGTAGTTGGAAATTTTATCATATTTTCCCTCTCAAAATCTAGCAAAGAGAAGTTGTATATTCTCAAAGCCATAGCCACCTTTTTCAAGTCATAAAATTAGCTTTCAATTGCTTTAATTTAAATTTGCTTTCCTCGCGCGTTGACCAAGTGAAAAATTAGCTAAGCAACAATAAAATACCAAGTTCGTGGGTTATTTTATCCAAAAGTTCATTTGTCAGTTTTTTGTATATTTGGTCCAAGTTCAAGGTGCAAATTGAACATTTTTCTATAATATTATCATTAAATATTAATTGTAGCCAATCATAGTGCAGAAAAATTAAAGAAAAACTTTAAAAATTCTAAAAAAAGAAAAATAGGATGCTAAACAAGATTGGGTAATTTAGAAACACAAATTCATTTTCAGATAATATAAAGAAAAACTTTAAAAATTCTAAAAAAAGAAAAATAGGATGCTAAACAAGATTGGGTAATTTAGAAACACAAATTCATTTTCAGATAATAACCCCGCCTCTAAACTCATCAAATTGATGAAAATACTTATGATCGAGATGACTAGAACTCAAAATCTCTTATTCTTCATATGAATGAGAAGACAAATCAAACCATGTCTGATTAATGCAAAATATGTATTTTTTTGAGTATAGAACTTAAAAACAAATATTTTTTTCTTTTGGATATGATTGAACATTAATTGAACTTGATTTATTGTTTTAATGGTTTGTAATAATTTATTTTTATATTTATAAATATAATCCTATACTTTTTTTTTATTATTATGTGTTCCCCATGTTTTTGTTTTCTGAAAATTTTTTCGTTTTCTATATTTTTCAAAATGTATTTCCCTCTTCGTTTCTGCATTTCAAGGATTACACATTTATGCTTTCCTGCAACATATATAATTTCTTTAGACCTATCAATTCGTTAATTTATTTTGGGGATTAAATATAAATTTTGCAGATACCAGGACATATGGTGGTGAATGCAATAATAGTAGCAATGGCGGCTCACACTAATGAACCAAGTGATAATGCAATGGGTTCTTCAGTTAGAAATCCTGTTAGATACAGTAATCTTCAGGATTTTGGGTTGAGCTATTTTACCAGAAACCCATGGATTGGTAAAGATGAAAAACCTGTCAAAGTTGGTAAGGTTAAAGTCTTAGACAACATGAATAGCTTTCCCAGATATATGGCCCTCCGTTACTTGCTATTGCTATTGCTATATATATTATTTCCAAGAAAATGGCCTAATGGATTTAAACTTTACAATTTAAACTTTACGTCAATTTCATCTGACTACTTCAACCTTCTGTTGCAATATCACCTCACATTATAATTACGAATTAAATTGCAAATAAAAAATACACTACTATAAGGTTGACTCTTGACTTTGAGTTTGGATTAACTTATATGTGCATTTGTGTGAATGAGTTGCGCTAATAGTAAGGAAAATCTCTATTATTATTTTTTAATATTTTCATATTATTCTTGTTATTGACAATAAATAATAAATAAAAATGTATTATTTAATATATGGATGCATTTTTCAAAAAAATTGGAAACTTAAACAATGAATTAATCACTATTATTGTTCGACTTTTAATGTAAATTTAGAAATAATTGTAAAATCTGAAAAATAACACTTGAAAAAAAATTGAACTGCTTCGAGATTATTTGATTCACAAAATATTAGAATTTGTTAATGTCTTTTTTTTTTTTGTCAAAATCAAAACATAAGATATAATTATAATTATTTATAATTTATAATTGTATAATGAAAAAAAAAAATTTGTTTCAAACAACAATTAAACTTAATAAATTTGTGTAAATAAGAAAGTTTGAATTAAGTTAATCCAAGGTCAAGAATAGATCTCATATTAATATATTTTTTATTTGCAATTTAAGTTTAATTGCAATTTAGGAATAAAATATCAAAGTTTATGGTGAAATTGATATAAAGATCAAAATAGAGTAGAATCGTAACATAATACAAAATTGAGGGTGAAATAGTGCATTAAGCCCCAAGAAAATTGAAATTTTATTCAGAATGTGTTCTTTTAAAGGGCGGTTAGTATAATTTATGTACGATTTAGTCATGGAAAAATTAATTATAAATGTCTCTGCCAAATGTTTTAAGAAGTGTATCATTAATTTAATTTATGATATGATTCTTATTTTTTTCATGATTTATATTGCGAACAATTTCTTGAAAGATTAAGGATGTGTTCACTTGTAGAAAACTTGAGTCGTTTTATAGAAAAATTTTCCAAGAAAATTGGAAACAGTGTTCTGTATTCAAATCAGTCGGTTTTCTATTTGGAAAACTAGAAAATAGTTTTCAAGTTTTTCAAAATTTAATTAAGATTTGAAAAATAGTTTTAAGTTATTTTCCAGAGTTTTTCTTTATAATAAAAGATATGTTTTCCAACTGTTTTATGTATTTTGAAAAAGATATTTTTCTAATTAAAATTATAATATCTATAAATAATTTTTTCTATGAAATATTTTCATTGAAACAATAAAAATATTTAAATAACATAAAAATTATATTATGCTTTAATTAATAATTAATTTTATTATTACAAATAAATAACATTTTAAAAATTATATTATGCTTTTAATTAATAATTTAATTTTTTAATATTTAACAAAACATTATAATCCTTTATTTACAAAATTTTAAAATTGAATAAAAATGATATTATTATTATAAATAATCCAATATTAAAAATTCAAAAAACTTTTAACATAAAAAATTTTTTTAAATTTATTTATAATATTTTATTCTTTAATTTATGAAAATTTATGAATAATGTTGTGAAAGTTAAATAAAAATATAACTTTTTATTGTTTGGCCAAGTGATTATAATATTTTATTTCTTTTAATTATGAAAATTATGAATAATGTTTGTGAAGTTAAATAAAAATATAACTTTTTATTGTTGCCAAGTGAACGCATTTTCCATTTTTTATTTTTTAGTTTCATTTTCTAAGAAAACTGTTTTCCTAGAAAACAAAAAATAGAAAACAAG